AACAATCAAATTTAAACCGTTTAAAAGAATTAATAAGGGATGGTCCTTCTGATCTTCTTATAAAAAATTTTAAAAAAATTATTAAGGTTGTTCTAAAATTATTAATGGACAATGAATCAATTGTACGAGAACAAGCGATTATATTGATTACGTATCTTGTTCAAAAGCCAGAAATGGTTACTTGTTTTTATAATTTCACTGAATTGATTATATTAAAAGTACTAAATATGTGTTGTGATCCATGTAAACCCGTTGTAAAAGTTGCTGAAGAATGTTCATTTGCCTTAAGTATCTCTTTACAACCAGAAACAGTTGTCAGAGTAATTACTCCTTTGATATCGGCAAAAGAATTTCCTGTTAATTTAATGGCAATCAAGATGATGACTAAACTGGTTGATATGTACGGCAGCCCTCCTGTAACTGTTCAAATGAAAGAGATAATGCCTGGTTTGCTACAAGGCTATGATAATCCTGATAGTGCGGTCCGAAAATCAGCAGTCTTTTGTATGGTTTCATTGCATAAAGTATTTGGTGAACAGGAATTTGCACCTCATATATCAAGTCTGAATGGCGCCAAGCTCAAGCTGTTGAATCTATACATTGAACGTGCTCAACAGTCTTCTCCGACATCGCCCAAAACCACTTCATAAACTAACTATTGATAATATTTATTAACGAACAAAATAATATGAGTCCTATCAAGGTATTCCATTAGAAGTCTTAGAAACTTGTATGTGATATTCAAGTTGCTTCTTTTACCTAACATTGGGATGCTCAACAAAATATTAGTACTTTAGTCATTATTAACTGTTGCCTTTTCAAACTCAACCACATAACAACGTTTTACATTTTAATATTTGATATTTTTTAATCACTAACTACTTAGTGTAAAGTTAATTATTGTATCTAAACTACAATTTTAATCTTTTGTCAAACCATCACATTTCTTAATAATAAATTAAGGGATTGTCTATTAACCAAAAATATATAATTATTTTTATCCAGTTGTAAAATAATATTTTGTAACTGTATGAGTTAGTTTTTAATAAATTACTATTGGTTGTATTATTACTATTGACTTGTTAAGATACTATTTTAAACCTTTTTTTTAGTATAGTTCTTGATCATCTATTTTTTAAATAACTAAAGTACTGATTTCTATTAATTCATTTCTATTAATCTATTTTGTTTATAATACTTCTTTAAGTTTAAACATTTTTGTTGTCATATATAGTGTGTTTCTGTTAATGTCAAACTATCAACAAGTATTATTGCATTAGTTACATTTTTTATTTAATTATATTTTATCCTTTTGTAATATGTGGTTTAAATTATTTATTTAGTCACATAAATAATTTAAAGTAAATTATGCCTTTATAATTCATACATGTTTTGTTTAAATATAATGTGCCACTATTTTCTTCAGTGATTTTGTTTTAAAATGTTGTGATAATTGTAATATAGTAGTTCCGCTATTTTATATTTCCATTTACTCTATGAAAAATAATTTTACAGAACAATACATTAAAACAATTCATGTAAACTTGTAAATTAAAATAAAAATAATGAGTTTAACTACATTAAAACTGGGTTTGGAGATACTTTGTCAAAAGTTTTCTTCAAAATAATAATTTTTCCCAAACTATATGTATTGTTTTATTATTAAATTAAGAGTTAGTCAAGAAGTTAAAATGTTATTTCGTTTTATACGGTTTGTAGTTTAAGTAAATTATAAACAAAATGTTATGAATGTCAAAATTTATTGATTGTGTTAGTGGCACGCTAATTTATTGTGTAAAATATACTGATGAATTATTATATAAAAAAAATTGTCATACATTTATAATAGATTTTTTACAAAAACCTTTTTGTTTCTACTTGTGAGTCTGTAGAATAAATGCATTATACTTCCATTATAATTTTTGTGATTTTATTTTTATGGTAACTATTGTTGTAATGTTATTTTAATTTTTGTACAAAAGCCATAATAAAATTAAAACCCAATAAAAATAATTGTTTTTTTTTCCTATTTCTATGCCTTAGTGGGTACTTATTTACCGGTATTTTCTCTACTACTAATTATTTATACAAATTATCAATTGTTATTATTTGTGTAGTGAACGTGTATTGTAATTTGTCGGTTACAATAGTTGTAGGTTGTATATAGTTATATGAATTGTACACGCAGTGTGATTCTTATATAGAGCTGGTCTACTTTAAATGTCTTGGGAGTTACGACGACTAGATCTCACGTAGAGGACGAAAAAAGTATATAATAATCATGACAATAAAAACTACTGCTGCTGAATACTGATGTTTGCGTGCCCTACAACAATAATAATACCAAGTACGAACGTACTATAATTTCTAATGCCCGTTTAAAAGGTTTAAATAGTTTAGTTTCTCTTGCAGTTTATTTTCTCGTATTAGAGGCCTGTGGGCGTGTACGCGCCACGTCTCGCCATTCTCCCACCATTTACCTATAACGTCGTGAACCATACTAAACATTACAATACATAATATTTCAATTAACAGCAATTTTATGAGTAGATGAGCTAATTAATATTGCCGTGGTTATAAGATGTCGGCCGTTATTATAGAATAATAAATATCATAAATGATGTGGTAATTATAGATGTAAAATGTATAATATAGTATGTAGGTATATTGTATGCCAATAAAATATTTTTTAGTTTTATCTCGACGAGATGTTAATACTTAGTGTTAACTGTTCAGTGTTTTAAAATTTGGGCAACTATGGTTGGGAGCTAATAGGTCGAGGAAAAATATCCCCGATGGTTAAACTTTTGGTATTTTTAAAACATCAAAAAGCACAGTAATGACTAGGTATTTGATCACGTAGTTTATTATTTGAATTTAAGTTTATTGTGGCGATGTGGAGTACATTTTTTTTACATACCCACATATTAAGTAATGTTATATTTTTAGGGTACCTATAAGACAATCTCTAACGCATAATAAACAATTAACTTTTTTTTCATATTTGTATACTCAGTATAAGCGATATTTTGACTATATAATTTATAAAATAATTCTTTTAAATCCTTAATATTTAATTTAATTTAACGTGCTCGTTAATCCCCAATATTTAATGCTACTAATAATGATTTTTTTTCAACTACCGTAGTTATGAAAACTTTCTTTAACTTATCATTAATATGATTAATAAAACCTATACACTTTTACAATAAATACGTAATAGAAATCCATAGAATATAGTATTTATAAAATGAATAGACAACAAAAACGGTATTTTATAAAGAGGATATAATTCGGTGTTTTTTAAACGTTTATAATCAGGGTCCGGATGTTAATTACTATTATAGGTATTGAAGTTTTTTGGACATCATAGACCAGGGGTCACTAATTGATATTTTTGAAGAGCCACATTAATAATCTGAAAACTGTTTGCGGGCCATCAAAATCGCAGATACCTATTGCTAAAATCCAATGAACAAAAATGATAAATTTCAACTCTGTATAGAACGTATAACATTAACGGTTATAACTTTTTTTTTCTCGTTTGCGGGCCGAAAAAATTTGCCTGTGGTCCACCATTTGGTGACCCCTATCATAGACAATGCTTATTCTCTGTGTTTCAATTTTCAAGAACATACGAATCTATAGTTATAATATATAACTAATTTTAATTTTCTTTTTTGTTTAATTTTCAGGTAATTTTTGTGACTTGAGAAAATTGTTTACTTTTTTTTAACAATTGAAACAAATACCTATTACAATTAATTATAAGTCGTTATTATAATATTTCCATATTTTCTACAAATCGAAAAAAAACACTTCTTTATTAATTTTAATATCTGTACATGTCGATTACGATTAACGACGGCTACCTATATAATATAGTTTAATATTGATGTCATAAATTTAAATTCTAATAGGTACTTCCTTAGTCTAATCTTTATCGATTTATTATGCCGTGCTGTTAACTGCGAATTGAGATAGGTACCCAGTTCTGACGGCAACAACACAAGTTTTAAATGTATGCTTATAAATTGTGAATTGTAATATTTAACTTAAAAATCAATAAACAATTACATGAACTTAAACAGGTTTATGGGCGTTTTTTTTTTTATAGAATTTGGGTCATTAACAATTAACATTAGGTATATAATTTTTATTTTCTAAGGGAATTTAAGTGTTTTTACTAAAATAAAAATCAATATTTGTCATAGATATTCGTGAATTATGATCACGGTTTAAGTTTAAGATATAATAAAGTATAAACCTTGGGTAGTTGGGTGATCTAAGTTAGATCATAAACATGATCATAATATAAAATTATATGATCTATTGATCTAAATTCTAAGGTATAAATCATAGACATAATAATATATGGACTGCGCTTTCCTCACCTCCAGTCTATCATATCTGGTCGTCGAAATTGTTTGAGAGAGATGGCGATAGTTGGGGGAAGACGGAAGTCATGGAAGTAATACGTCTATATTTTATACACCATGAATATATTTATTATTAATCATCATAGACATAATAATGTCTATGTTATTAATAGATGTATAAATGTATAATAATAGTAAATAATAAAAACTTATTAATACAATTATATGTTATTCATATTACTTTTATTATGCACTTCTCCGATATATACTTGCTTATTGCTTAATAGTTTTATTACTTGATTTCCATCATAGATATTACAACACATTATGTCTAAGACATAATAATATATTATTTTGATTTTCACGCAGTTTTTACTTTTTATTATTAATTGATATTGTTGTTTTGGTGATAACAGAAACTAGATAATGATTATTTCATGGTGTAAATAAAAATACTCTATAGTTTCTTCCATGCTTGCCCCCAACAATCGCTATCTCTCTCGGTTTACATCGGTTCCGGTTTTCTCTCTCTGAGCGCAGTCCGCCAGTCCATATATTTTTATGTCTATGGGTCCGCCACAGTAATATTATAGTTCGTTTTTGTGATTAACGTTTATAAGAATGTCGCAGGCTGCCGTTGAAGTAGATGAATTCGAGTTATTGAATGCGAAGAATTCGTGGATATCCAAATCCTGTCTGAAAGACATCAACAAAGTTGAATGCCAACCAGTGTGAGTTTAGTCATTTATAGTTTTATGTCCCAATTTTTACTGGTAGATTAGAAATTAAACCATGTTGTTGCCCAGTATTTGAAAACAATTTGTTGACTGTACCAAATTTATACTTTATGGAAGTAGTACTTAAAATGTTCAGAATCACAGAACGCTTATAATTTTATATGATCTTCGTGGACCACAGCTGTAAAATAAAACAATCTTTAAGTATTATATTTTATGTTATAAACTACATAATTTACGACACTTTAAATGTCAGTTTATCATTCAATATAAATTAAAATAATTGTGTAGTAAAAGTAGGTATAAATATGATGAAACTAAATATTTTTTTTTTCTTTCACTGATTTTCAAATTTAGGAGGTTTTCCTAAGTTCATAGAATATCCATGATCCGTGGAACACCGTCCAGTTATGTATTAGTTAACGCTAACCAGCTGATAACAGATTTTATTACCAGCATATTTCCGCCAGTTAAGTGTACATTGACTTTAACTGGAAATTGTAAGAACGGCCCTTAAATTATCAAATAATAGTTACATTTGTAAAGCTATGCAATTAATATATTACATATATATATATATACATATTTTGTTTTTTATACATCTACCTATTAAATTTAATACCTAATTGATAACTAAAACTTGGCTTGAAATGCTTTTTAAATGGAAGAAAATTTTTTTTTTCATTTGAACTTATATATTATAATGTATTATATTTCTACAACATTGTACAAAATATTATATCTTTATAATAGTTTTACAATGACTTGTCAATGTCTAACCATTATTTTTTGTTAGTATAATTTCAAATTGCAATGTATTTATATTTTAATATTTTTACTATAGATTACCTGTTAAAGGCGAAAAAAATATCCTTGTTACTTCAGCACTACCATATGTCAACAATGTTCCACATCTTGGTAATATAATTGGTTGTGTTTTATCAGCCGATGTTTTTGCAAGGTAATTTTTTAACGATAAGATCTCATCAAACATATTATTATAGTATTTTAAAATTCAAATGTATTGTTTTAATGTCTTTAGTGTGACAAATTAACAATGTTTAAACTATATTTTAAATAAATTAAGTTCTATTAAATTTTCCAATAGCCTAAATGTGATGATGTTGGTTATTCTTATATAGTATTTACCTTTAAGTTAAATTAACAATGGTTTTTTATTTTATTTAATAGATATTGTAGATTGCGTGGTTGGAATACATTATATATTAGTGGTACTGATGAATATGGTACTGCAACTGAAACAAAAGCATTAGAAGAAAAGTTAACACCGCAACAAATTTGTGACAAGTTTTTTAAAATTCATAATGAAATATATAAGTGGTTCAATATTAGTTTTGATCATTTTGGTAGAACTACATCACATAAACAAACCGAGTAAAAATGATAACTACATAGTTCTAGATTTTATTTTAATATAATATTTAAATGACATAAGTTTTAAAAAATTTGGTTTGTGTTTAATTTAGAATTGTTCAAGAAATATTTAAGGAAGTACACAGTAATGGCTATACCAGTACTGCATCTATGGAACAACTTTTATGTGAGAATTGTGATCGGTAAGTAATTTATTAAAATACATTACTTAAAACCATACATGCAGACAAAATCTTAATTTTGAATACCATTATCCTGACATTATTAATAATTTTTTCAGATTTTTAGCTGATCGATTTGTTGAAGGAACATGTCCTCTATGTAATTATGAAGATGCAAGAGGTGATCAGTGCGATGGTTGTGGTCATTTAATAAACGCCACCGAACTTTTAAAACCTAGGTGTAAGGTTTGTCAAAAAACACCAGTTGTTCGTAGTTCTCAGCAACTTTTTTTGAATTTACCTAAAGTCGAAGCTAAACTTAATGATTGGGTTGATAAATCTGGTGATGATTGGTCTTATAATGCAAAAGTGATAACTAAATCTTGGTTGAAAGATGGTTTGAAGGAGAGATGCATCACTAGGGACTTGAAATGGGGAATTCCTGTGCCACTCGATGAGTTCAAGTCAAAGGTATGATGTTGATTTCAATACTTAAAATTTTTTTATGTTATTTGCAAAATATTTCTTACAACTAAGTGAATAGGTGTTTTATGTTTGGTTTGATGCACCGATTGGATACATGAGTATGAGTGCTGTTTACACACCAGAATGGCGCAAGTGGTGGCAACCGGAAGACGATACTAAAGTAACATACTACCAATTCATGGCAAAAGATAATGTGCCTTTTCATTCCGTTATGTTTCCAGCGTGCCTGTTTGCTACTGAACGCAACTATACAATGGTCAACC